TGACAAGGGAAGTAGTTCCGGATAGCGTGAACCGTAGTCAACGATGGATAATACTTGTTGACCCTCGATACACACCAGATCAACCGCCAGTTTCTGCCGAACTCCTTCAATTTCTGATGGCAGCAGCTTTTGTGCGGGGTTTGTATGACGGCGCCAGCCGGTCAATGACAGCTGTGGTTGTGGTAGCTGACAAGGGAAGTAGTTCCGGATAGCGTGAACCGTAGTCAACGATGGATAATACTTGTTGACCCTCGATACACACCAGATCAACCGCCAGTTTCTGCCGAACTCCTTCAATTTCTGATGGCAGCAGCTCTTGTGCGGGGTTTGTATGACGGCGCCAACTCTCCGAACACTGCTCGGCAAACTTGTCGGCATCTTTAGACATGCCGGTCCACCATACTCGTCGTCGCAATGCATCCTTGAATATGTCCCGACCTGGATGACCTTCATGGGCCAACTGCATTACGGCATGTCGGAGAGCTTCTGGTATTACACAGCGGTTACCGAATAGCAGGATGCCGTCAATGGTCGTCAGCTGATCTCGGATAAGGTAGTATGGCTCTTCAGCGGGTGTGACTTGTCACCATGATTGCATCAAGACGCGCTGCTGTATGCTGCGCAATGGTGGGTCATCACTAGTCGCCATGGCGATATCGTCGATATTGACTGGGCACTCTTCCAAGACCAGGCCAATGAACTCAGCCATAGAGCGGGCTTCTTCTGGTGAGGCACACCATCTGCTTCCCTGGTGCATGTGACAAGGTGTACTTGTATGGCATGAGAGCGACCATCCAGCGCTGCAGCTGTGGTGGTACTTTGTCAAACGGCTTCTGGACGATTGAGATCAGAGGCTTGTGGTCGGTCACAACTTGAACAGATCTCCCCAGGACGTACTGTCGGAATCGAGTCAGAGAGAATACGATACCAAGCATCTCACGCTCCAACTGGAGAGCGACCATCCAGCGCTGCAGCTGTGGTGGTACTTTGTCAAACGGCTTCTGGACAATTGAGATCAGAGGCTTGAGGTCGGTCACAACTTGAACAGATCTCCCCAGGACGTACTGTCGGAATCGAGTCAGAGAGAATACGATACCAAGCATCTCACGCTCCAACTGGAGCGCGACCATCCAGCGCTGCAGCTGTGGTGGTACTTTGTCAAACGGCTTCTGGACGATTGAGATCAGAGGCTTGTGGTCGGTCACAACTTGAACAGATCTCCCCAGGACGTACTGTCGGAATCGAGTCAGAGAGAATACGATACCAAGCATCTCACGCTCCAACTGGGAATAGCGGGATTCAACAACGGACAATGAACGGCTGGCGCAGGTGACAGGTAACCAAGTGCCACTCTTGTCTTGCTGCCACAGAATAGCACCCAGACCAAGTGGAGATGCGTCACATGTTACCTTGGTTGGGACGTCCAAGGATGGCTTAAAGTACGCTAAGCACTCTAGCAACGAGGCAACGTTGCTAGAGTGGTAAATGCAGCCGTCAGCTCATCATCAACGACGAACGGTTGTCGCTGAGCCAGTTTCCTCAGCGGTTCAGTTATCTGTGAGAGCTGCGGTATGAATTTACCAAGGTACGTCACCATACCAAGGAAACGACGTACATCTGTCAACGTCTGCGACAGCTGCAACTGTTGGATTGCCAGCAGCTTGTCACCGTCAGGACGCACACCATCCTTGCTCAGCCAGTGTCCCAAGTACTTGATTTCTGACTGGCGTACACGGCACTTCTCCCAGTTTAAGCGCAGGTTGGCTTCGCTCAAACGACGGAGTACGGCAGCCATGCACTCGTCGTGTTCCTGTCGGTTGCGGGCATAGATGAGAATGTCATCAATATAGACAACGACTCCCGGTAGGCCGGCAAGGATGTCCTGATTGTACAGCCCTCTTTGCTAATGAATCCTGACTTCTCTGTGGTCAGGTCTAGGTTCTGAATGCGTGGCCCCGTAGGCCCCGTAGGCATTCTACCACCCAGCTCTATTCATTTCTGCTTCAGAGATTTGGCGCATGCACGTGCAGCTACATGTGTGTACTCCGCCGCTAGGTTCTACGTGTACAGGACCTGCTACTCTTTGCTACTCTTTGCGCGCCAACTCTGTTCTACGGTACAGATGCTTCTGATTTTGGGGATATAATCAGGTACTGGTTGTTGCTCTCGGGGAGTTCTCGGAGAGTTGTGGAAAGGAAGGCTTGGGTTTTCAAGGTGACTTGTTTGTGTTTGTGAACGGCGTCTGCCGAGGATAGAGGAACCATAACAATTTGGCGCAGTGAACAGGATGGCCAACAAAGTCAAAGTTACGGCAAACTTGACTTGGTCCACGAGCTCGGGCTGGACCTTTTTTCCACATGGCGCAGCCAGATAGAAATCGGTTTTCTGCCCCACAACGTCGAGCAAAGCAAGGACAAATATCTGGCGGCCGCATCGAACCTTGGTGAAAGTGAAAGTGCACACAAAAAGTGAAAGTGCCTCGCACTACCTTTGGCAGCGATATGCCACCATTCCAACAGGCGACGATCCGTATGGCGATCTGTGTGCCCTGTTTGTTGAGTGCTTCGGTGGCAAACGCAGACGTGCCTCCTGCCTTGCAGCCTTATCTCACAGCAGCACGGAGAGTCCATTCAGGCGTACCGGCACCGGGTACAGAAGGAGATGAGAGTCTGCTATTTGACGACGTCGTCCAAGCTGGAGGAGGTAATCGAGACTGTGTCTGTACACCTGTTCGCCCGCGGACTGGCCTGTTCGAATACGCGGCAGAAAGTGTTCGAGCAAGGTGGCTCCACTCTGGCGACGGCAGCTGAATGTGCACAGTCGATAGCCATGGCGGCTCAAACTGTGCAGGAACAAAGTGCCATGCAGGGACTGGGTGGTCACTCACCTGTGACAGTGGGATACGCAAGTTCAACTTACAGGGCGCGTGCCCAGGGTGTCTCAAGTGGCCAGTCAGGTGCTGGGCCAAACACTCGTCAGGCTCCCAGTGGCAGTAGCGGTGCGGGTACCAGTAACTCCAGCGGAGCAGCAGCGTGCCCATGTAGATACTGTGGCCAGCAACATCCACCGAGCAAGCACCACTGTCCTGCAGCATCTGCCACTTGTAGCCACTGCCGGAAGACAGGATACTATGCAAAGGTCTGCCAGAAACGACTGAGCGCAGCCACCCAGACTAATCAAGGAGACCCTCCTTAACAGGACAGAGCACCGGCTGCCACCTGCGCCTGGTTGGAGCCCAGCCAGGTAGCGGAAACGTACATGGTGCGCACCGGCAAGATGGGATTTGGGCTGCCGCTACAGATCGGCAACGACCACACTGTGATAATATGCTACTCTTTGCGCGCCAACTCTGTTCTACGGTACAGATACTTCTGCTTTTGGGGATATAATCTGGTACTGGTTGTTGCTCTCGGGGAGTTCTCGGAGAGTTGTGAAAAGGAAGGCTTGGGTTTTCAAGGTGACTGGACTGTCTTGAGTTTGCGTGTGTGAACGGCGTCCGCCGAGTATAGACGAACCATAACAGCTTCATAACTCGTTCTTATGTGTTTCTTCTCTTTTTTAAACTCATAATTTCTCATAATTTTTCACAAAACGCGGCATATTTTCTATCAATTCATAAAATGTATGTCTGTCATACCCTAGATATTATGTTAATCCTCATCACTAGCCATCCATGCAATTTCTTTTAAAATCATTTCTAGGAAATGGCTCCTGGCCGGTGAGAAGGCATCCTTGCCTGTGAATCTGATGAAGTATAATAAAACAACAACAACAACAACAACAACGACATTCTGGTTTCTTCACCCTCTTTTTTGCCACCTACTTACCACATTGTTTTTGTTGCTTCCTTGTAAGGTTTATCACATTGTGGAATGCATATTTAAATGTTCGGTTAACGTAGGAGTTAACCGTTGTTAGCAGTCACGTACCATTGCTTCGCTGTTGGCCTTTATAACGGGTTGCATGACCCTCCTTACGTGTGTGCACGATCTTGCTCTCTCTACATACTGCTGTGTATCATAGACATCACATGCCCTTGCTCTGCGCATGCGCAGATTTCCTGTGCGCACAACAGAGCTTGCTGTCTTTCCAGTTTCCTTGCCTGCAGTCAGCTTTCAAATTCTGACCCACCCTCCTCATCCCATTTCTTACTCTTACACTCCACTCCATATATTTTGAAACACATGGATGCGGGAACCCCTCCGTAACTGGCCTCTCGCGCACTACTATTAAACTCGCATGGGTCATAAACCGCTCCTGCTCAACGCAGGCCGACCCACCAACCCGCATGGGTCACAAACCGCTCCTGCTCAGCGCAGGCCGACCCACTTGGTCATATACAGCTCCTGCCCTCGGTAGGCCGACCACACGATTCGTTAACGTTCACTCAATTGACTCCAGCTACTCTGCCCGACATTCCCATTCTTCCAAACTCACTCTCTTGTCTTTTGGTGTGTTGCGTCCTGCATGCGTGTGTGTCTACTCTATACTCTAGCATGGAGAGTAGAATGTTAATCATTGTTTTTGTTCAATTCAGTCACGATAATCCACTGATGATAGTGACATGAAGATCGATAATGGAAAACAATTGACTTTGTTGATGCATGATGGTCACGGCAGAGTTAGTTCTTTTATTGCTCTAATAATAATAGTAGTGGATTTGGGACCAATGGACTCTCTGTAGGGGATGGACATCATAAGTATAGGGGCTGAACGCTCTACTGAGTCCAAAATATACGTGTATATAAAATCATTGTCCCTTTGTGGCTGTTGGTTGTGAGTATATACGTGTACATAGAATCATTGTCACTTTGTGGCTGTTGGTTGTGAGTATATACGTGTACACAGAATCATTGTCACTTTGTGGCTGTTGTTGGGAGTCTAGTACTGGGTGCACATTCGGCATCGTCTATCTCTATATTAAGTATTTTGTTGCCATGCCGACTTTTTATATACATGCACTTGAATGTCTGAATTTATTTGAATCTGCTTGTCTGCAGTGACTTCTCACACAACATGATCAGTCAAATCAGTGGAAAAGTGTTCTTTCACCCTTCCTTTTTCGTCAAAATGATAATAGCTGACATGTGAGTTGAGGCGTTGGGATCAGAATATCAACGTGTACAGTCAGACTTCGCTTTTATATTCGAATCCCTCGCCATCCGGAAGAACATAGCTGATTACAGATTTACAGTACGCATAGTGCATCCAACATAACTGGTGTTCGGTTATCCGGTTCCCTCGCCTATCCGGATATTTTGTGGAAAACGGATGTTTGCGGTTAAGCGAGGTCTGACTGTAGCATAAGCTCCCCACAGAAAATTTTGATATGATTCTTCTCTGTTTTTGATTGCATTGGGAATGTATTGAACAGTTGTTTTGGGATCAATAAACATTTACGGGTGGTGTACCTGTGGATTTTTGTATAAAAGTGGTGAAAAATGAAAAATCGTGGATTCAGATTTAATGATCTACACAAGTCATTTTGTGAGCTCAGATCAAACACAAATAAATGGCCTTAACATTAATGTTGCAATGTATGCTACCCATGCAAGTTGAAATGAGCTGCTTTTGGCCATTTCGCCTGTAACGGAAGAATATTATTGTGCGAAATTTGCAAGTTTTTTATATAAAATATACTGTTGTGGGTAGCCGAGTGGAGGCATGGTGCTTAACACGAATTAGCTTTTAATTAAACTTCCTCAGGTACTCTACCTGGAGGTTGAACAGCTCTTCTGCTCGGCTTTGTTGTTTTTCTAAAATTAATGAAATCAGTGAAGTGCAGCAGCTTTTGTAGGGCAGCTGACCCCGTACGGGGATTCACTAAATACACGCTCTACTATATATGTAGGAGTCAGCTACAGTTCCGTAGTATCCAGGCAGGGATACTACAATACTTCAAAAGTAGATACAAGGTAAGTTTTACTATAGCAACAAGAGCGACTAATTGCACTTTATTCATTTCCTAAATGTCGACATGTATGTGTATAATGTGAAACGATGATCACAAGGCACACAACGAAAAGGAAACAGTCTTGATAACTTGAAAACCTATGAGGATTACTTTAACAAAATCCCAATCGGCCAGTACCCAGATGCAAGATCTAAAGACGAAAACCAACTGCAGCCTGACAATCTAGCATATCATTCACCCGAAGAATCGGATATGCATCCGGCTTTGTGACACCATTCAACTCGTGATAGTAGACGCCCATTGACTGATAGACTCGTGGATGATACGCTTCCGCAGCTAATCATCCATTAACCCACATGCATGCACGCATACACACATTTCACTTAAAACAAACAAAACATCAATATGCACATTTATCCAGACACGCTCTCACGCACACACACACACGCATGTGAGTGCAAAACGTACAAAACGTGGACACATGTACACCAAACAGATGAATACAAGGAAGTGGGGTTTGCCATATTTTTTTTTCTTTCAATTTTGTCTGATAAATATTTACGAAACTTTGAATCGAGCGACACCGTGGATAACATTGAGCCAAGAATTATGCAATAAACCAGAAGAGATATGTAGGACTCAGTGACCAGTCAAGGCCCCATGACCAATCACGGTCCCCGTGACCAGTCAAACAGTCACAAACTCCCCATGACCAGTCACAAATTAGTTTACCAGTCACAATGCCCCATGACCAGTCACAAATCACCATGCATGTACATGTGTAAAGCACACAGTTCGTGACTGCTCGCGGAGTGCTTCGTACTGCAGGATTTGTTGTGGAAACTATAATTCCCTTTGAGCGGTCACAGAATACAGTTGTGACCACTATAATTCCAAGCGAACAGTTATATGCGGAATGTACAGTTGCGACCACTCTTTCTCTGTGAGTAGTCACAGGCAGAATATAGGTATTTCTGCATTACAAGAGAGATTGGAAGCTTTGTCACAACTCTGAGTTTCACGTATCACTACGATCGTCAGGCAACTGACGGCTCCAAAACGGGCAGCCTGAACATAAGGGGGAGTAAGGTGGGAAATTCCGAGGGGTACCATAGGCGACGTGCATCATAGCGCAAGAGTCAGGTGCAGGCGTGAAGTTGCCAAGTCTTCAGACTAGGGGCTATGCAGCAGCAGTTCCAGCGTGAATGATACAGTATAGAATAGAGCTGGGGACTTAAATGCCAAATCCACACATGCCCACACCATTACACCCACACACACCCACACTCTGTCCCCTTTCTCACATACACGCACACGCGCGTACACGCACACACACGCCCCACCCCCCCCCACACACACACACTCATTCTCTAAATCTCTCTCTCTCACACACACACACACATTCTCTCTCTTTCTCTCTCTCTCTCTCTCACACACACACACTCTCTCTTTCTCACGCATGCACACAAACCCACACACTCACACATGAGCGCGCACACTTACTCACACACACACACACTCACACACACACACACACACACACACACACAAATTGGCAGCGGGACTACCAGCTAGATTCACGTGACCTTGCGGACAAAGTTACGGAGGTAGAACTTGTTTTCATGACGACACTTGGACACAAGTATTTCTGTATCATTATTTTATCTCTTTTCAAACAATCCACAAGCCAAGAAGAGATGCGTAGACGGAAGAACCGTACTCTTGGTGATACTGATATGCCAGTTCAAGAACATCTCGTCAGACATACATATCGATACATGTCTGGTGCACTCTCACTAACAAGCAGGCATTGCAGGGTACATTCGCACCAGCAATCACAAGAAAATGTAGTGAGTGAATATTTCTATAAAGTTAATAAGTAGAAGGAAAATACGTAATGGAAAAATGAAGGTGTGGAGGATCGCCCAAAAACACTGACAAGGAGACAGTAAACGGTACACAGTACTCGTATGCATGTACTTATACACGTTATAGCAGCACAACGAGAAAGACCATGTACATGTACCATAATGTTACATCAATACATTTTAATAATGCAATGAATATAACTAAATGCGCACTCATATCACAACCATGGGGACGAATCATGTATTCCAGAACGTTTTCTTGTCACAATTATCAATGGAATTCGTGACTAAAGAGAATGATGAAACTACAATAGGATTTATACACTTGTGACAAGAAGTGACAAGAAAACGTTCTGGAATACATGATTCGTCCCCATGGTTGTGATATGAGTGCGCATTTAGTTATATTCATTGCATCATTAAGATTATTGTCTCCACGTCGCCTTTTTACAATACATTTTACAGAGTTATTTTGGGAGTAGGAATGAAGATGTGTTCGAAGCAGTAAACTGCGTAAGCAATACGTTGAGCCACAATATTGAAACACAGTTTCCTGCAGTCAAAACAAGACACTCACACTTCTCTGGTCTAGTTCGCCATTCTTATCGCTAACATGACTTGGTTTAAAATTTCTTACGATGGTTCTTGACAATGGATCAATGATGTATTGAATAGATGTCTTCCCTGAACGACTTCAACTGAGAGGCAGTTTCAGTTTCAACAAGCTGGACATTGTTTTTCTGTGGAGTCTTCCACAAGAAAGACAGAGCTACACACACGAAGGTGCTTGATGTACTCAGTACCTTCTTGGAGATGAACATATTTTCTTTTCCATCTTCATTATATTTTCGTCTCTGCATCGTCGACGATGTCCACTTCTGACTCCGTAATCTTGTCACCCATCCTCTCCAAAAACACAAAGCGAGTGCTGCTTGTATGCTGGATCAGTTGAAATCAGTCTCCGTTCTAGCAAGATCGGCATGCAACTAAAATACTTGACTGAAAATATTCCGAAATAGCTTTTCTGAACGACGAAGTTTGTTCTTCAAAATTAATAATGATGAATAGCACAATCTACTAGCCAGAACGTCCTCTCAAAAGAGATTCTATCTGAAGCCTGCAAGATTTTCGACCAACCTTCGTTTTGGAGAGGAGCCCACACACACCAGACTCGAGCTACAAGTAAACTACGTGGAGATCGAGAGTTGATCGAAATCTTTCTTGCTCACTTCTGAAACCTGTGAAGGAAAAAAGTATGCTGATCGCGTGAATGCCCACAGTTGAGTCGTAATATTTTGACGTGGACCCTGTGACCGTTCACACTCACAGAGAAAGTCGCGGCTGTTTGTGACTGGTCATCATGATTCAAACTGGTGTGTGACTTTATGACTGCTCTTCGGGGATTTGTGACTGTTTGATTGGTCACGGGGATCGTGATCGGTCATCGAGACATGACTGCTCACTGAGTCCTACAGATATATCTTCACAAGTAGGCAAATAAATGCGTAGGTGCCCGGCAACAGCAATCGGGCGAGTCACAGCAATGTACGTACTGCAACTTCAACATACACGGTTGACCACCCATGCCTCAAACCGGCGGGTCAACCACATGGTGGCCCGGAAACTTCAAACGGGAACACACCGATACAACAGACACAGTTGACCACCCATGCCTCAAACCGGCGGGTCCACCACATGGTGGCCCGGCAACTTCAAACGGGAACGCACCGATACAACAGACACAGTTGACCACCCATGCCTCAAACCGGCGGGTCAACCACATGGTGGCCCGGCAACTTCAAACGGGAACACACCGATACAACAGACACAGTTGACCACCCATGCCTCAAACCGGCGGGTCAACCACACAACAACATACAGGTGTCACAACACTGAGACAGTACAGCACAACACTGAGAGGCAAATGCATTTGACCCTCCTTGGGGCCTCGTCACGTGGCACAAGATACCAACGTGTCATGTCTAAAGGGAGGGAGGGAGGGGAGAAAACACGACCTTGAGTCACTTTGACTAACAGGATGACAGAAATTGTTTACAAGGAAGTTGCTTTGCTGACACGAGGCAGGGCAAAGCGGCCACCCAAGATTCATTTTTTCATCCACCATTTTCAGAAAAAAATATTTTTCATTCATGTGCCGCATGACGAACCCGTGATAAAACATGTGCATGCGTGGGCTAACTTGGCTTTGCTGCTCAAAGCCGTCATGTAATGTCTGCAGAGCAGCGCAACAGCGATACCATATGCGCTAAGCCGCTTGCGTGGTAGAAGTATGTGGGCTCGTGCA